CATTACCATTCATTGTTTTCAATAGCAACACTGTTGGCATCTCGTTCTATCGTTTCATCTTGTGTGTATGCGTGTATATGTTTGGGGGGAAAAATTATTATTTTATTGAGACGCTTCTTCGGCAATTTGTCTTTTTGTTCAATAGTTGATCATTGACTTCCAAGTTTTTCAGGCTTGGTCTTTGTTTAGCCCATTATTTCAATTTTCATGCGATAATTAACACAAATATCTACATTTTGCGCATTCCATTCGACTCACATGTGTGCTGCATGTAATTTATGGTTTTGCGTTTTTGTTCTGGCCGTTTTGATGATATATCTCTGATTATTTTGCCTTGAATATTTAAAATTATGTATTATTGTGTGCTCTTTCTTGTTGTTGTAATTTTCAAATGTCGATATTAAACCACGCTTCCAACCGTATCACTTCTTCGATGAATTTGCAGCCATACGGCTAAATTAAACATAAATTTTACAACTGCAAAAAAAAAAAAATAAAACGATGATTGTGCGAGTCAAGTGTCTTTTTACGTTCACATCGGTGTGGTTTGTCGTGATGGGCATTTGTGTAAGATGTTATTTCTCGTCGATTCCAGACATCAAAACCGAATAAAGATTTCATTCGTTTGATCAAACAACATCCTATTGTGTTGTCCAATCGTGCTATGGTTTGAATAAACAAATCGAATTCAATCGGATTGACTTTATTTGCTCAAGTAGAACCATTTTAAAAAAAATGTCGATTTGCGCACTTAATTTCATGCACGAATGTGAGGCTCATCGTTAAATCCCAATTTCGATGCGATCGAAGCGACAACGAACACATACCGTAAAACACAAACTACCGGTGTGCCAGTCAAAATGTGTTCCGTCTACTTATCCATCACTCATTTTCCCGCCAGTTATCTTCGAATTCTTTTTGAGTGATAGTTTTTTTTTCTATCTTCTCAAGGATAGGATGCTCAATATTTGAATTATTGTTTATCTTGGATGGAACGCACAAATAGTGATTTGTAAATATATGGTTCTGTGTAAAACGGAATTATTTTTTTTTCGGTTTAAAACGGAAATCACAGCTCAAAAAAAAAGATAGTGTTCGTAGAACAAATAGGATTTTTATAGGAAGTATCTATCCTAATCATCTTTTTTCGGTTATGGACATTCAGGCAAATAGACAATACTAAACAGTTACGTGAGCATAACAAAGCCAAGGAAAATCACAGCCAAATGTTGAAGTAACAAAAAAAAATGGCAAAGAAAGTGGTGTGAACGTGCAAAACAAAGAATGAACCGATGTAAAGAAGACGAAAAATAACAGATATTCCAAATGATGCTGAACGACGCAGTCAATGCACAACATGCGTGAGAACTAGAAAAAAATCCGATGTACCCGTAAGTTCATAGAACAAGAAAAATGGATTCACAAAATTCAAAATTCTACCTGCTGTTTTCATCACTTTTTTTCCCATTTACTCTTTCTCTCAATTTTTAGAACCATTTCTCATTTACTTTGTCCATTTTGTCTGCGTCTAGCACATTGAAATTTTGATTTTTCACTGCTTCAGATACTGTTTTTTCTGTTGCATAGACAGTGGTTATATACGTGTGCGTGTGTTTGAGTGGGAGAGAGGGAAAATACAGAGAGAATGAAAGAGAAGTGAATCTTCCTTTGTAAATGTGCCGTTCGTTTCGTTGCTTACTTGGCCGAATTACGTTTGCTTCGAATATTCAGAGAATTCTTAAAAATTAATTTTCAGTGTGTGTGCATTGACCGAAAATCGATTAACCAATTGTTCGTCAGTGCACGTGAATTTCTAGCTTCTACTAATTTACCCCGTACTTCTTCACACTCCTCAGCCTCCTTTTTGTTCAATAACAACCACAAATAATACATTTCGAAAATATTTCACTTTTTCGTTTTCCTTTTACCGCATAAAACGCGTATAATTTATTTCAATGTTATTAATGCGTCTTTTTTGTATTTAATCTTTAAAAAATGACTCGTATTTTTTTACGTTTGTTCTTGAAAGCTCCTTTTTTACATCGCACAACCACTTTAACATAAAAATCTTCATCATCATTGACGACGACGATGATGATGATGAAGAGAGATGAAATGAACAAAAAAAAAACTACAGTAGATAAAGAACGCTTGAAATGTTTGGCCAGAGAACTAAGAATCAACAAATCAGCATCGAATTGATATAAATGAATTTTTTTGTTTTGTTCCATCTTTTTCTGTTTCCAATTGTTGTCGGTGTATTCATACACACCGAATGATATTCGAGCAAAGATAGCGGCTCTAATGAAAACATTCACAGCAGTTAAATGAGTTTTTGAGTGTAATATTCCGTCAAGCGTTCGTGTTTTTTTATCACTCTTTAATTATTGTAATATTTCAACTTAATTAATGAACTTGATGGATTTTCTCATATCAATAGCAAAAATCTTATGAGCTCATCGAAAATTGAACGATTGAAATGTTTCTGTAACTATACGGGCATACATTTAATGCACGAAACGATGAAAACAGCATACAATTGAATTGCGACCACATTTTGATCTAAAAATGAACCGCTTTTTGTTTTGTTTCACTTTGGTGTCTGGTTAATAGAATTGTTTATTGCTTGATGGTTTCAATTCAAAAATTTGGTGAAACTACGATCGCAAATCATTTTGACGTCTGAGGAAAGTCGTTACCCAAACGATTTTGCTTGGTGTATTTTTTTTCTCTGTTCATGGTATACCCGATGACATACTAAATAGATGGGGAATCGATCACAACGTTGCACGTATTAACCAATGTGAAAGAGAAAAAAAAACACTTGCTAGAGAAAACCAAACGGTTCAATACGAAACACTTTTAAATGTGAATTGGAATAGGAAGAAGAAAAAAAAAACGGTGACTCTCGCGTTCATTCATTTATCGCACGTCTCGTATTTCTACATTTGCCTAAATGTGCTAAGCCATGGAATATAGTATATAGTCTGCCAATTCCATACACACACACACATGATATGAGGATAGAGAGGAAAAAAAGACACTGACTGACGTGCTTCGCATACTAGCCAATCTGCACCGCTGAACGTTCTCTTTTATTGATTGTTATTAATTATGATATATCCATATGCACTCGACGAACACAGTCCGCAACTATACAATTGTGAATCGTATTACTTATACGTATGTATTATATGGTGTGGTTTTGTGGTTTGTTGTTGGGTCATTTTGAATCTCTGTTGATTGAATGATGTATTTTCCTAATCGATTACTTTGAAAATCTCGGCTTACTGCTATATTTATTCGGCTTGATTTTTTGCTGGTAACATTCCAAAATGGTTAAACTCAATTATTTCGCACTCAATGTATGTGAATCAATATTTTTGTAAAAATTGAGTTAGCAGGTGAATATGGTTTTGTTTTTATTTTATTTTATATTGTTTTAATGCAGCAAAAATGTGCACGATGTTGCACATTTAATTAGGTGGCCTGTATAATTCGTGCATCAAAATAATATTCATCGGGTCAATCAGAATATGATGTCTTGTGCACCTTCTTGTTGGTGCGTTGTCGTACATAATGTGCATACGTTTATATAAGCCTTCAAACGAAAAAAAAGAGAGAAAAAACATACACGGTTACAACTTAATGAACGGTGGCGATGAAGCAAGCAAATCAAGTTAATGCTATCATTTGCGTTCTCTTTCTCTCCCTCTCTCGGTCGCATGGAAATCATTATTATTTTCGTATGATTTGTGGCTGTTTGTATGTATGAAATGTATTTGCTATTTGGTGACATACTTGTTGTTGCACTATTAGCATCGAGAAATCAAGGCTTAGAAAATAAAACGAGACTCTCTGCGATTCTATAAAAATTATTGATTCAGTCAATGAATGTGCGGCCGGTTTGGATGGAAGGAGAAAAACGCGACGGAAAGAGAAAATGAAAAAGAGAAAAAAATGATGGCATGAAATATTTATTCATTCTTTAGTTTATCATTTCCATTTAAATGGAAACGTATGCATTTCATATGAAATTGTGGAGAAGAAAAAAAAAACATACAAAGTGAAGTGATATGTGTCGATTAAACGAACGTATTAAACGAACTAATCGCGGCGAGACAGTGACCACCGATTTATAAGCAAAATGCCATCGATATTGTACCCCGTTTTAATAGATTTGCATTCATTGCAGAAATGTCGCTGATTGAAAACATACCAAATAATTTTGATGCAGTATGCAGAGAGAGGAAGAGAGAGAGCGACTGAGAAAAAGCGACAAAATAAAAATGGCATGGTCGGGTAATAGAGTGTCACGACAAGCATTTACCATTAAACCAATCGGTTTGAAATAGCAATATAATAGTCACCACTAAGTAGTAAAAATAAAGAAAACACGAAAATCAACCGAATATAGAAGAAAAAACCGCTTTCACAATTTATTATTTTGATTTCTTGTATCTTCTGTAGTGTTGTGTATGTACACCGTGTGTTGTATGTGTGGTTGTCTGTTTCATTTATTCATATAATACATCCATTTCGGTTACTCTCTCCGTAGATTGTCACAATTGTCTAGTGCGTTCCTGCTCTTCGGTTTGTTTGGCATTTCTTGTTGGTGATAGTATCGGTTTTTGTTTTGGTTGGTGCTGTTTTTGATTTATACGATGTCGTTTTCGTTGTTATTGCTATTATTGTTGTCTTGTGTTTTTCATATGGCCCGACAACAGAGACGAAAAAAAAATAAAGAGTGTATTCAACGGAAAAACAAAAATTGTTGTTGATTTCTATAAAACTTCAAGTCTTCAACACTTTGTAATGATCGCAAATCGGCATGAAAGTCACATGTTTGCTAAAATCACATTTCTCTAAAATACCTATTCGACTGACTAGTTGTAGGTGATTTAATATTTGTGTATTGTGCGTGCTTGTTTGTATTTTGACTTATGTATCCAGTTGTCAAGTGCTTTCTCAAAGTAAAAAAAAAATGCAAAAATATTTACCTTTGTGGAAACAAGTGCAACGCGATGTTGTTGTGGATTTCAGGTTTATTTATGTTTTTTTTGCTCTCCCAAAAAAAACTAATAGTTGGACGTTGCTTTTGGATATAAATTGTATAACGTTTGCCAAAGCCACCCCAAAATATGATTTCGAAGAATTTCAATTCGTTTTAATTCTCAGTCGTTCAAAAATTGTCTTGTGGTTGATATTTAACGTACACTGGACACTTAGAATATCGCGTAATGAAACACTTGAACTGATAAAATTGCGATCAATGACGTGCGATTGATTGTCAAGTGTCTTTAAGTTAGAAGAATGCCGCACATTAGAAATTATTGATTTCGTTTCTTAATCAAAATGAAGAAAATATAATGTAAACCATGTCTCTTACTTGCTTTCTCACATAACACATTTCACCATATCAAAACGGTAAATTGAAACTTTGGTTTACAAGTTCGATGATTTTCAATTTGCCACTGTATCAACTATCAGCGCAACAGGTTACTCTTTTGATTTCTTTGTATTACAAATATTACTGTATCAAATGTGCGTTACGATTATGTTCAAATTGTTAACATTTATTTCTTCACAATCAATCACTTTTGAATTGTAATTTCGCAGAAAAATGTTGAGTTGATCGAGAAATTAATTGAATTGTCCACTAACAATATTGTATTATATTTTATTGTCGATATCGCAAACCAAGTGAAATAACGAATGAACAAAATAAAATAACACTGTCAGACACGTCCGACTATTCGAAAAGTCATATCTCAACTGAAATGCATAAACATTCAAAATTGAGATTTCTGTATGCGTACACACTCTGAACGATCCCCACGTTCGACGCCGTCGTTGCCGCCACCGCCGCCGCAACAACAATAACAACAACAACAAATACGCTATACATCAATGAGACAACAACTGAAATAGAGATAAAGCGAGCGAGAGCAAGAGTGGCAGAAACAGACAAAATGAAACGGCAACACACTGAATCGAACCGAACTGAACGTCAATGGAATGTCGTACAATGCGGTCGGTCGGTTGGAGCAAAACCGATCGCTACGTCGCTCTTCGCTTCTTTCTTCTTCTTCGTTTACTTCAATGCCTATTGTAAAGTCACATTTATACTTACTTTCTGTATGTGGCATTAGAGAATATGCGCTAGAGTGAAACGATTTTTTGGTTTGTTTTTAAACATTTTAAAGATCACATCGTACTTAAAATAGTGATTTGATATCATTCCTTCATTGGCCATATATATTTGTCCTTTCCTCGAGTCCATTTTAAAGATGTATTCACTTGGTGTTTGTGTATAACGGAGAAGAAAAATTGGTAAATCAAAATGCGAACCACTCTAAAACGTGCACGTACTTAAACGTGCTGGTGTCTTACGAGTATGTTTTGCGTGTATGTGTGTGTATCGTGCTACGTTGGACATGTGTGTGGATTTAGCGATTTAGTTTGTCTTACGAAAACGCATGCAAACTGCAAAATACCTGTTGTTGCTGATTGCATGCAACATATATCGTACTTACTTAACAAGATGCCGATGTGAACAAATGATGCATAAACTCAAACTTGCGCTCATTTGAAATCCATGCGAAAAGAATCCGGTGAAGCGTTTCGATTGATTTCGCTTTATAGTTATATTTCATAGTTTTATAGTATGTTTCTCTTTTTTTTCGCATTCTTTTTTTCTATTTTGTCTCTTTGCATTGCATTTTAATTTATGTATATGAAAATCAGTGCATTGGTTATGTTGCAATACATCGCAGCAATTCGATTAATGTGTGAAAATGTTCAAAAGAGAGATGAGCACGATAGCAACCATACAAACGGGAGAGTTGAGAAAGAAAAAAAATCAAACATGATACACGGACAATGCATACATATTAATACTCGCTTTGTTTTTTATATTAATGAATACAAAAGTGTCAAGACAAATGTGATGGAACCGCATGCCAAACGAAAAATAAATCGATGTCAATTTGTTTACAATAAACGATAGATTTGTAAGAAGTTACTTCGATCAATCTCCATAAAAATTTATACGAGCTCGAATCAAATGAATCATAATACACTATTGTGGTGTACAAATGCGCAATTTCAATCGCCGTATTTTTCCGATGAGAAATTCAATTGATATCGAAACGTTGCAATTCAATTAATTAAAAAAAAAATATAAGGGAAGATGAAGAGAGAAAAAAAATCGTGTGCGCGCAAGATGATTTTCTCATCATTCCATATCAGCAGTGTAACATAAACGTAAATTGATTAAAACTGTCAACGGCGGTCGCATGCAATGCATTTAAAATAGACACTTGTATGCATTTTTACGAAACAGAACAATATGAATGAGAATTGACGTAGCAAATTACTTTTGTTCATTCATCGTTATGTGAGAAGAGCAATCAAACTGAGCGAATCGCTGAAAGTGCGATTACTGCAATTCTCTCTTGCTGCATGATTACAGAAAATAAAATTTAACGAAAAAAAGAGAGAAATAAAACAAGAATCGTCACTCAAGTGAATAAGAAACGACAAAATCATTTTTTTAAAAATGAACAACTTGACTTATTCAGTCATTCCAAGGTATTCCACTGCGATTATTATTATTATTAATGATAACTGCACCAAACACTTACTATATATTTTTCACCTTGATGCTATTCTCCATCGTCCAATATATACCTGACTTTTTCCACATGCAGCAGCTCACACATTATCCATCTCGGTACGGTTTTAATTCACTGCGCAAATCAAAAATTCTTCTCTGCAGATTAAGTAACTTTACGGCGAAAAAAAAAATAAAAATAAATAAATAACATATTTGTGTACGTATTTGGAAGTTGACATAGCTCAACAACTAATTCAGTATGTAGTTCGATTCAAAAGACTTGAAACAATTACTTCCATTTAACATACACATCTTAGCCAGAAAATAAAACGTGAAGGAGAGTGGCACTGTGGTAAAAACGAATTCATACACAAAATGGTTAGAATTGTGAGTTTGAGTTGTGTGTTTGTTGCATTTAAATCGATCATACTTATACAATTGACTAAAAAAAAATACACAATGTATAATTTTTCTCTTTTTTTGTTGTTCACATTCATTTCATGCAATCGAATTTTTCCTTGAGTGAGAATACTTTTTTTCGTTTGTTTTTTTTTTTTCTTTTTTTCAAAACTAAAATTCCACATCATTTATATCGAAAAATCAATCAAAGTCAGAATGTTTGTGTGAACAGACATTTGGAAAATTCGGAACAATCGTTCATCATAATCATGGGTGATTTCCAACTTTTCGTAAATACAATGTGCTTAGTTTTGCATAAACACTTTTTCTGAACCGACTAATTACTTCACGATTTAGTTCGCACAATTAATTTGCATCATTTACATTTCCTTCATTATGCTCAATCATTCAAATGACACTTTGAATTATTACGCCGCTGAAACTAAACGAATTGAACATGAATTCAATACCGAAAGGTTTGATCACAGGTTGATTGAGTTTGAAGACCGTAGATGAATCACATTTCATAGTTTTATCCCACGTTTGTGTATGCCAGCAATCAGACCACTCTAAATTCACGTTAAACGTTGAAATTCCAACGGTTCTTCTGTTGATCAAAAAAAAAAAAAGAGACACGGTGTCTTTTTTTATTGATAAATGAAAAACGAAAATACGATACCGCTGCATCATACGTGAACGCACATTTTCTCATCATGACGACGAGCTCTCTCGCGAATGGCAAAAAAACCAGTTTAAATTTCGTAATCAATATCTTTGTTTTGCGAATCGGTCGCGCGCTCATGCATCGCTTCAATATTGACTTGATGCAAAAAAAAAAAAAAACGATGAACAAAAAAACACACATATATATCGGGCAATCTTGGAAAACCAAATCGACGTGCATTCGTAAGTGTTTAAAAAAAAAATAAAGGTTTGAGTGCCAAACCAACGAAGAAACCTGATTCCATTGATCGCATGGTTCTATTTCTTGCCCATTTTCGTCTCAGTTATGCACCGATTATGAAATAAACTACCGGATAATTGTAATAGGCCCAATGGGATGAAATGAAAACGTCTCTATACCATTGCACTTACACAAAAATGTACTTCTCTCATGTCAAAATAAACTTGTTATCTGTCTGAAGTTTTATGGAAATAAAATGCTTTTCTACTTGCATATAAATGCAATAAAGTTCTTCCGCAATGGTATACGCATTGCAAGCTAAACAAATCATTACGTTTTTTATGATCGCATAAAAAATGGTGATTTTAACACAAGCAACAATGACAATCGATCGATCGATGGAAGTGATGAAATCGATCATCAAATCTCTTTATCGTTTTGTGCCCGCACATTGTGGTTTCAAATCATGTAACTGTTTTATTTCGTCGTCTGATAGATGTTTCAACTCAAATCATATTCACAGTATTTTGTGCTGCACAAGGTTATTTGCCCGCACACACACAGGCCAATATTACACCTTACAATCGCATCGATTTAAAAAAAAAAATTGTTTATTTTCCTTTGCCACATGCTCTTGCCGCTCTGTGCACATTTCAGTTAAATTATATCGTCTGAAGGTCAGAACAATTTGTTTTTCGAACCACAATTCATTATTTAATATGTAATAATCTTGTACGTGTAATTTTTTGATTGTCTTCACAGTATGTTAAGCGAAAAGTCAATTTGAATATTATTTTATCCATTTTGATTGTTGTAATTTTTAATGTGGCACTTTTTTTTAATATATTGCACGCTACCAAATGGGCAACTTTTGGCGAAACCAAATGATTTTTTCGTTTAAATTCATATACGCTATTCAAATTTCAAGACCAACAAATTCGGTGAGTCGATACGGTAAATTTGGCGTCAAAACATTAAAGTGGTCATGACAAACAAACAAAAAAGAAAATATATCGGTTTTCCTTTCATACATTTTTGTTTCTTAATTCTTTGCTTGCGGGGAATTTATTTGACAACGAAAAAATGTTCTACTTTTTTATGTTGATCATTTCATGCGACAAAAAAGAAACAAATTAAAGAAATCAACACGAAATGTCAATCAAGATATATAAAAAAAAACTTTTACCAAACTACTATACGATCGTTCGACTGAATGAATGGAGTGGAATAGAAGTGCATCTTGGCCGCTCAGATAGTTTCTAATACGAGAAAGTTCGACCACCATAAATAATATTGGAAGTTTGATTTGAATTATTAATTTCATTTCATTTTTTTTCTTCTGTACATTTGAATTTTAAAACTGTGGTCTTTATGTCTTGATATAATTAGCATTATTTTGGCGCCTTAAATCTGTTTGATTCGCGAAATTTCTCTCTTTCCATCTCTCTACATCAATATTCTGTTGTAGTGTGTTATTCTTCGCCATTTTTCTTACCGGAGCTTCTTAATTTACTGATTTCTTTCATGGTGTCACCATCGCGCGCGCAAAAATCACAACATTTAAAGAAACGTTATGCCGTGAATAAAGTTATAAATAGAGATTTTATGCCAGAACTGTTTTTATTTCATTTGCTTATCGAAAACTTACTCGGTTTTTGGACGATAAAAATGATTGATAAATTGACGATTTGGCTAAAATGCTCGGCTGACTTCGAAGATGAAACTGATACATTGCGTGAAAATTATCAAATCCAAAAATGTATTTACAATGTAATTCAATACGCTTTTCTTTTATTTAATTTTCTTTTATTTGAAATGTTATCTTTTGATTATCTGCTG